TGCCGCAAAACAAGCTCGTATTATAATAAAAGGAAAGGCTTTTATAAGGGATTCGGGCAAGCATTTAAGCGAAAAGGTAACGATGTCCACTCAGGTTTATACCTGATTCAAGTATCACCCGTAGCTACAGAACGTTATGCGGCAAACATTATACGCCCGCTTCTGAACCGAAATCCGAGAGGCACGTTTTGATTGGGTCGCTTTAAGTATTCAAAAGTATTTTTAATTTGATCCTTATTTTCGACAGCTATTGTGCCAATTTTATTGAATGTAAGTAATTATTATTCTATTTTTATTAGTAGAGTTAAGAAAAAAATGAATATAAAATTATAATGCTAAATATAAATTACTTTAAATAAATGTTGGAAAAATTGCAAGTTTAAAGTGATTTCTCGTTGGAAAAACGTCCACAGGTGGATATGCGATTCCATAATGTTATTATTCGAATATATTACTCCTCCCATCCTCTATGCAATTTTCCTTTTACAGGAGTATAATGCATTTCCCTCGACACCTAGCACGTGGTAAATCAGCACTTAAAAATTCAATCCACAATTCAATTTTTGCAGGAACCTGAATTGAACTTAGATTGCTCATGTATGGTATAAAATTAAAAGGTATTTGTAGCTTGAACTCTGAGAACTACGGAGTTTACTAATAGAAACAGAAGCTATCAAGCAATGTAGATAGATAGGATTAGGTGACGTTTATTTAAGAAAACAATTGCCATAAAAAATGAATTCTGCGTATAATAGTGATACTAATATATGCATTAAAATGGTAAAATATACCTTAAAAGTTTCGAAAAATATTTTTATGTCCATTCTCGTTAGATTGTTAAAAACATGTTACGAAATTGAATGAACATTTTCTTTAGAAAAGCTACAAGTTAAAGAAGAAAAGACAGTAAACTTGACGTGCAAGTCCATATAAAATTCACTATAACAAGTATTTGCACTTAAAATCAGGAGCTACACTCAAGAATAATGTCCACATAACATTAAATTTCATGTAAAAATGGAAGATTTTAAAGTAAGTCACTTTGCACAAAACTTACATAGATCCTAAGATCTATCATAATAAGATACCTCAACACATAACACACAACAAAGTTAAAAACGGCTCAACTCATGCTTTTATCCTCCGGTGACGGCACCGACTAGTTTCAAACCTTTTGGGGGTCCATCTTCAAGGCGAGTATTAATTAGCTTTTGTTCGCGGTTACGTCGCGCCTCGCACTGGTCGGTCTAGTCGGTGTCGTAATCGGAGGATATAAGCGTGAGGTGAGCCGTTTTTAATTTTCGTTTACAGAAACAAATGTACTTGTTTTAACCGTATTCTCCTCGATTAGTAAGTTACAATTTGTAACTTATATTAAAAATGTAATTGCATACTTTACCCATCAATTTAATCAATTTAGAAAGCAAAACACTAAACTAAAGTTTTTATTATCATTCATAATGGAATATTACTAGTATAAATACAGATAAAAATTCTAATATGAGTTACTTAATTCTATAGATAACGTTCAAAATAGGTGACCCATTTACGAGATAATTCAGGCAAGATAAAACTTGTTTACATTTTGCAATAGTGGTTGTATCTGGATTCGAATTTTATGACACTGATATCTGAGAAAAACTTTTGCAATCACATCTTTTCAAATTGTGAGGTTAGTGTTAGTTACTGGTAGGTTTTGATTACTCAATAGTTTGTAAAATATACTTATAGCTTTAATATCTTATTTTATTTAGAAAAAAGAAGTTTAACAATAAGTGTTTTAAAATGATTTTGTTTATAAAAAAACAGCGTTAATAACGTTATTGTTCTGTTTCAATACTCGCTCGTTCATTTGGATGTTTTGAGCAAGTTAGCTATCAATTGTAAATCATTTAAAATTTACAGTATTAATTCTAATTTCATTCTACTAATAGTGGCATATTAACAATGGTATTATGTTCATTAATTAAAGTAACCATACTGAAACCATCCAGTCAAAACATTCCGCTCAGTTTCAAAACCACAAATTAGATTGCAAGCTGATTTAAATGTTTATTTCACTAGGAAATTGTTAGAGTAACATTGATATTTCATTATTTGGATAATTTTATGTCATAAATGTTATCGTTAAATTGAATTAAATTCAAAACAAATAGAGGTACCATCCGACGTTCATGTATACTGTTGGATTCCATACTGTTGTAGCTTATGAACCGCCAGTTCGAACGGAAAAGTTTGAATCACCGTTCCTTGTGCGCACTGCAAAGGATTGGAACAAGTTGTCGGCGTCAGTATTTTCGTCCAATTATAACGCGGGGACTTTCAAAAGAAGAGTAAACAGCTACCTGCTAAGCTAGTGCGTAACATATTTCGACTGCATCATCACTTTCTTTAGGTGGGATCGTGGTCAATCTAGCTTAACAAACATAAAAAATAAGTTTTTTCTAAACTAGCTATCAATATGAATTAAACAATTAATACTTTAGAAACGTTTTATATTTAACTAGCTGTTCCCATGCGACTTCATCCGCATAGAATTCTAAATATTTCATTTTAATGTTCACATTTGTCAAATTGTCAATTGCAAACGTCAAAATGATATGACATGATGTCAGACCTTAGCAACCTTGCTTCCTTGGTGTTGGCAACAACTTATGATCTCTTTCCCACATTAGGGTTTTTACCTCTAAGTTTAATGGCGTGAAAATATATAGCCTAAAGCGTGACTTAAGTGTAGGGCTTTTTATTAAAAAAAGAATTATTCAAAAATATGCTGTGATTGCTGACATCTTAGGCAACAAACAAGTGTGTGTTTACGCTTTATTATATTAGTATAGATTTATAGATAAATATTTTCTAGCTGTATATACGTATTGCATAACAATAATATCAAGTACTATAAATCGCACAAAGTGAATCGTGAGTAATAGTATTGAATTGTTAGATCTAACTCAATAGTATTCGGACAATAGACATTCTTGTAGTTCTCACAGAGAACTTATAGAGGAAGCTAGCAGTAAGTTAGAACTTTAACGAATCGTGTATGCGACAAAGTTAGTAACTAAAATTGCTAAAACTCTATCAGATTATTAAAATAGTTGACTGTTTTTACGATATTTTTAAAACCATTAATACTATCTTATTCTTTTTTTTTCGTATTTGTTTTCGAATGATTCATTTTACGTTAGTATTAGTAGTTAGGTCTAGAAAATATTACCAGCCTTTATATCTTAATGTGACCTTGCAGGAAATGACTGTCCCAAAAGACCCAACTTGATGTCTTAAATAAATTTTCATCAAAGCTCATTCGAATCGAAGCGACAAGCAAACTGCCTTTGTAATGAAGTCAACGATATTAAATTGTACTGGACTTCTGAGAATACGATCGAATAGGTTTCGTTGTTTGACCAGTCTGTTGTAACCTAGATCTGAATTTGGATCTATAAAATAATTAGTTTTTTTTTGAGCTCTCTATAATAATACCTATTTCATAAATGTAAAATAATATTCTCTTTTCTTTTTAAAACCTTTTGCGTATGAAATCTGATTTGGAAAATCTGAGAACATAAATGTAAAAATTGTTTTTACGTTAAGCTCCTTTTGTACTACAGTAATACTGAGATTGAGTTATTATTTAATAAAGTAATTCAGGGATCTAGATTCCCTTTAATCTAAAATTCACAAGCTTTTAGAACTCGTTGACCCGAAGAATAAATTACGGTTCTCAACATTTATCTTAGATAATGTGTATGAAATTTTAGGTGAAAACAGACATCATGTCTTAGAACTATATCTTATGGCATCTTCCTTCTTTACTTAGCTCTCCTAAAAAAGTGCATAGAAATTATAATTCTCCGTGCAGAAAATAAGTCTGAAATTAAATGTATTCCTTACAATTTTTAAAAGTGTAAATATCTTGAAATTTAAAATACGTTGACTTGATGAAATTTCCTAGTAACCAATGCAACTATCTTCTCTTTCCGTACCTAATGGTAAGTACTGCTTTGCCGCAATTCTCGGAACTAATTTATTATAATAAATTAAAATGTTATAAGAATAATTCTAGTTTAAATAACTCAGGTGGAACAATAAATTACCCTGTTTAGGTATGTTATTACTGAGACGAAGTTAAAGATCTCCTGAGTAAGTTCCTTCACGTTCCACTTAATCTAATTGAAATTACTCCTCGAAATGTCTTCTTGTTTGTGAAATAAAGGTTGTGATATGTTCTATGCATATAAGTATGCCTGTACCCTTCACAGAACGGATCAGTAGATGATGTGATGTTTTCAGTTTCAACCGAGATATTTTGGGCAGTCATGATGTCTTTTAGCAGCCCAATAACTACTAATAGTTTCCTGAAGATAAAACTGGATGAAGCAATCGTTAGAAAACACCTATAAGTGAAATGAACACAAGAAATGCTTCTTCGCTAATAAATATTTAACCAACTAATGCGTGTTAGTATTTGCGTTGTCTTTAGTCACTAGTACTTACATTTCATTCAACTGCGCCCGCTTTTGAACAATTCGACCCGGAGGTCACCCACGCAATGTTAGCAATGAATGTATAATTTAGTCAACGACTCCACTCCCTGTTTTGTTTATTTTTGACCGATCATCGACAATTGTGATTTATTTAAGTAGCACGTTCTTTGACCTTTTGTTGTACTTGTTTCTTTGATCGTTGAATTACAGTCTTTCTGTGTTATAGCAATTACATATTTGAGGGAATCAGAAATGATTCACGATTCTTTGAATCAACTCGATAAATACCTTTGTTGATATGTTTACTTCTACGTTTCATCTTTTCTTCAAAGATGTAAAAGTCCCTATCCTATCCTTCATACTAATCTAACACATTTGCATTTTATAGGAAGGTGTCATGTGGTCACATGAGATCGAGAGATCTGCTACAGAACTGTATTTATATTGTAGGATTAGAACAAAAACTAGGGTTTGCATTTCCATATATCAAACATTTATTTATTTAGAACTTGACTTTTTTAACCAAGTACACCGGGCATAAGATAAAATTTTCGGAAATGTAACATAAATTGTTTAAAGTAATAGAGAGTTATAACAGTAAATTACAAGACATGCATATAATAGAGTTTCATATCGAAGATTATTACAACATTCATTGAAATACTTATTACTTAAACAAATCCTTAAAATCGATGTAGTTTTGGTCTGAAATTTGTTATAGCAGAAAAAATAGAAATATCTATAAAATTACGCTAAGATTTATTACAAATTTGTTCTCGTATAGTATTTTATAATGTAACTTATATGAAATTGAAACGCTTAAGGCACAGCGAAATTACATCTAACTAGAATTTACAACTATAGACATACTGCCTATAATATATGTGGGTAACATCGATCATACTACGTCACGAATTGTGATATGTACAAAAATATTTTCATTCATTTTACTATCTATATTACAAAACCCACTTACTGTACCGTAGACACATTAAACTCAATTTAGATGTAAAATGATTCGATAGATTTAAACGTTACAGCACCACAGATATAAAATAATAATTTATTTTACATTCATACAAACGATAACACAAACCAAACATATTCACAATAACGAGAAAACAACATTAAAACCAAGTTCACCAAACTATTGTATACGCACGCACACTTCAATCGATTCACACTATTTAGCTAATGTAGTCTTTATATCGGTTCCAAATCTAGAACCGATATTCCTCAAATCAGGCAACCGTATTATCTCTTCTCTGTCTTTCAAGTTGTTTTCTATGACTATGACGTTTTCTTGCTATGATTGCCACGAGCGCTATTACAACTACTAACGCCACACCTATACCTATCCACCAATATGTATTGTAAGATGCTTCTTTAGGGCTTGTTTCTTCATTATGTTCTCCAGTCGCTACTGGGTTTTTAATTTCTAGTACGCCGACTGTCGATGTTTCAAAGCTAAATTTATTATGTGAATCGCCACCAGTATCTATGACGTTGTCCATTATATTACCGTGTGTATCTTCTGGCGTTTGTTTAAGATCTATGTTATTCTGATTAATTGGTATATCATTTTCATCGGGAACCTTTTCTTGGCTAATGTCTGATTCGGGAGGATCTACGTATTCGACTATATCATTGTTATCTGTTGATGGATCTAATTGGTTATCTAAATATTCATCCAGTAGTCTAAAATAATCTGTAAGTCCGGTATATTCCAAGCTGTTTTCCCTTTTTGCTAATAGATCGCTAACCATTTCTGGCCATTTAGCACTGAATCCTCTAATCATTGGTTCACTGAAAATAAAGTAATATTGCTATAGTTGTAAAATATGCTCTTAGATGATAACAGTAGAATTGATTTTAACGTGACTTACATTAGCCGTTCGTTCTTTTCCGTTACGTGCTTGACTAAATCGTAATCATCTGATATGAGTTCTTCAGCGTAAGATTGATAGATTTGATATTTTAATATTATTCCCATGAATTTTCTGCAATGTATTAAAATGTTTTTACTGATGTTAAAGTAAATGCACATATAAACATGTTTTAATGGAGAACGTAAACTGATATACTAACCCGACCAATGGTTTGTTAAATAAAACATAAGGATCTCCCAAAATGTCTTTGTTAGATGTTTCCAGCATTGAAAAGTTTGCCCGGAATTCTTTCCAACTCTCTCCAACCTTCGAAGATGGAATAGTACCCATTAAAAGTTTCAGTCGCCACTCATCGGCGGCAATGTAATAATTTAACCTGAAAAGCATAACTTTTTAGAAACAAACCATTATTTGGATAATTTAATTATTGTCATTGCTTAAAACTCACTTTGGCAAATCTCTGAGCGCAATTATTAACTGTAGCACTAGTCGATGATAGTTAGGATTATAATTAAATCTCTCCAACGGATATAACTTGGCTCTATCTAAAGTGTGGGGATTTAAAGATAACAGGGATATAAATCCTGGAATCGCTTCGTAAATTGCTGCAAATATAAGTAATGGAATTAATTTAAAAAAAAAATACAATTTATTACTCAAATCATCAAAAATATCTCTCAGTACCTGAATATCGTGTAGCTTCTCTTAATACATACGTATTGTTACTATGTAAAGCAGATGTAATCTTATATTTCAGCTTAGCAACTGCCTCATGAGCTTCAACATAATTCACTAGACTAACATCTCCGCACGTAACGAATCTTAATTTGTTGGGTTTACACGAATCTACAATACTCGTCGGACATGAACTGTTATAGTATGATTCTGAGAAAATTTCCGGTTCAATCCCACCAATTTCTAGGAATTTTAATAAATTCTCTGCTTGTTTGAATGCATTTAAGCCTCCAAGTTCCTGAAATTTAAGGTTAAGTGTCGCTAAAAGGCTTGTAATGTAAGTATGAATATTGAGATGAAAATTGACGATATACGTACCATAAGTCTTAAGTTTACGTGAAGTTTCTGATAAATATCAGCACGTTCAGGCAACAGATTCTCGATAATATTAGACCAGTCATCTCCATTCAATGATTCTGTATTGATATACATTTTGATTATTAATAAAATATTAGACTAAAATATCGCACAACTGTTTAGTCTCGCTTTGATTATAAGCTTATATGGAGGTGGGCACACTACTCGATTTTTAGTTGTGCAACTAAACAGTTGAATTGGCTGCGAAACAATCGATTCGCACCACAGTTATGAGATAGTCAAAGATGTTCGCCCGCTCTTACAATATACAATACAACACATTTGCAATCAAATTGTAACTTACTCAATAAATGAACAGGCAATGGTTTTCCAACAGCGTCTGCTCCTTTTAGTCTCAAAGCTATATATTTATGTAGTTTCACATACAAAGGATTGATATAATCATAGATTTCCCGAACTTTTAAAAGTGCACCTTCATATTCAGCTAAAGAATCCCAATATTCTTCAACTGTTTTATAACCTAAAAATAACGAAATTTAGATAAAAAAAATGCAAATATTGATTTTGTTTTTATAATCATGAAAATATTTTTATACTCACCATTTTCTTTCGAAGCATTTGTTAGCAATGGTAGAATATGATCCAGATATTCCTTTTGGTTTGGAAGTTTTTGTTCCCATGAATTTTTCATACGAAGTAAAACGTCTGCATCGTGCTGCTTTGCCATGTTTCTATTTAATTCTTTAAAATAATAGACAGTTAATTTTAAGGTTTACAGATAGCTAACTTAATATTTAATTTTTTAATGAATGAACAATACACAATGGTTAATATGCGATAGAAAATCGAAGAAAAGATTTACAGACATGTACCGAAAACCTAGTTAAAAAAGTAACAACCATTTTACGTTCTAAAAGTGACTTAACTTTTCTGGAAAAGACTGCAAACTCCAAAACTTAAATTATTTGCAAATGATATTTCATTTAAAAAAGAAAAATATAATTATATAGACCACAGTGGAAATTGGTTTTATCTGCGTCAATTTAATAAAATAATGAGAAATACATCCTATGTTACTCACCGATAAATTACCTTACTAACGGTGAAACAATATTTAAAATGGGCCCAATAGTTAATGGGTCATTTCAATACATACAAAAATTAAAATCTTGCCTCTATATTAGCATAGACAACCGTACTGTGTTCTATA